GATCCCAGTTTTTCAATATATGAAAACAGATAAAAATAATGTTACTGATAATAATGAGCAAGAACACTAGAGGGAAAAATGCATGATGTGCAGGAAATATATTTTATGAGGAGAGATGAGCATAAGCATTTCATAGATCAAGGAGCAAGTAAGTAAAGTTCTTTAACATTGAAGAGAAGTTGATTTATATATTCAGGCTTGAAGTGGATAGAGGTTGAACTATTCTGTGATTGACATTTTGTTTACAAGTTGCAGAATTTACAATACAGTGAAATGTTATACCCAAGCCCTATTACAAATATTATACCTCTTAACAACAGCCAATAATCTTCAGTGTAAACTGATAATGAAAACAGTAATTCTGCTCTGATTTGTTTAACTGGAAATAGAAAATAATATATCGTGGGAGTCTTATTAAAAGAACAAAAAGAGGCATATATTTTTGTTGACAGAAGAAATATATTGTTCATTCTTCTGGGTCTCATGTTGCTCATATTGCTGCTTTGTCTTATCGCCAATCACTGAGCTGCTCTGTGTGGGTGGAAATGTCAGACTCTCTATTCGCTCCGTAAGAAAATCTGTATGCTACTCTTCCGTTTCTCATATTCAGCTGGGTTTGCTTTAATGTTGTCCCTAGAGAATGTTCACTTTTAGGATCTTGCTGGCAACTTCAGGCATCTATTTTTTTCATAAAGCATCCTGCTACATAAGTTTACTCCTGGTAGTTTGTCTGTTTGTGAAAGAGGCATTTGGCAATGTGGTATTTTCAAACTGAAATGGGGCATACTCTGACCCTAAGCAGTTACAGGGCTAGTTCAGTCTCATGGAGGAAATGGCAGTTATTGAATGCAATGCCGAAGAGGCCTTTGAGAAGATTCAACATCTCTCTGCATATCTCCCTCCACCACACTGCCAAAATTCTCAGATGGTGCCACTGAAAGACGTTGCTTAAAATGTGCTTCTACCCTGAAAAGTCATAAGGTAAAAAAGCAGTATCTGCTCGCTTATCACAGGTTCTTGCTGCTAGTACTCACAACTAAAAGTCTTCTAGTGAAAAAGCGGCTCTAACTGCCAGTGCTCGAGTGCTGGCAATGTTGAGCTGCATTCTCTGGGTTATATGGAATATCTCCAGTGGAGTTCAGTTCTGTTTAGTTATCAGTAGATTTACAGCTACCTGAAAGGTATTTTACAGTGGTAGTAATGCACAAGAAGGAATGGGACTCACTTCATCGCCCCTTAGCTATGTTACTCTGAAAAGTATTCAAGTATAACCAACAAAAGTTAATATATTAAACTCTGCAAGCATATCAGTGTGTTCAAGTGAGTAGACATGCTGAGCAAGCAGATAACCTTATTTGCAACCTTATTTTTCACTGTGTAACCACGCTTTCCATGGGTTTGCGCAAGTGATTCTGGAGATTTAACATCAGTGTGTTTGTGAAGTGTTGCTTAAGACATCTCTTAAGTCAGAGGATCTGCCTAGGTGTTGCTAAGGTAGTATTTTGGCTAGCAGGGTATTCATTACTAATGTTGATGTGCATGAAAATGATTTGGTTTTCAGATCACAGAATGCATTTGCAAGCTGTGAAAGACATCACTTTGCTTTTCAACAAAGAGCTCTCATGTCCCTTGGTAATTACCGGATAAAGGTGGAAAACCACAATGCCATTTCTATGGAGTTACAATGCAATATTTCCTTTGCATTTTTTAATAATATTTCCTAGTCCCTCAGTTGAAAATAGCCATTTTGCTGACAGTGGAGCTAGAGTAGTTCAAATGTATTCATTCAGCGGAAGATAACTAGAGAGTCTGTGAATCTCTGGATAGTCAAATCACTTCAGATGATATAATCTGTAATATATTGAAAGTTGGGGAGAGAGTTGCTGCAATCGCACTTTCTTGCTCGGAGCATCTGCCATACGGGGAAAGGCTGAGAGAGTCGGGATTGTTCAGCCTGGAGAAGGCTCAGGGGGCTCAGAGCCAGCCTCTTCTCAGTTGTGCCCAGTGACAGGACAAGGCACAATGGGCCCAAACTGAAACACAGGAAATTTCATTTAAACATAAGAAAAACTATTTTACTATGAGGGTGGCTGAACACTGGTACAGGTTTACCAGAGCATTTGTGGTGTCTCCATCCTTGGAGACATTCAAAACCCACTGGACGCAGCCCTGAGCAACCTGCTCTTGCTGTCCTGCTTTAAGCAGGCGGGGTGGGCTGGATGGTCTCCAGAGGTTCCTGCCAGCCAGCCTCAGCGATGCTGTACATAAAAGAAAAGAAATACCCTGATAGGAGCCTGGTCCAGTGCCCCTCTAGGACCGGGCTTCTGTCATCATTTGTGGAGTATGTGCTTTTGGATTTTCTTACAACCTCCACATTTTGAAGGCCCTAATTATCATCCTGAGCCAAACTATCACAGTGACATTCATCTCTGTGCAGACCAAGAGCAAAGGAGTTTGCAGGGTTTATATCTTGCTATATATTTGTACAGGTCCTAGCCCAGATCAGCATTGATGGTTGATTTCTGGTATTACTACAATATTAATTCATTATATTGTAGTAGTTTAATCAATAATCTTTAGTGAGTGTTTTTATGTGCCTCTTCAGACCTATAGAGCATAAGTCCTACACTTTCCCTTATCTGCGGGATGCAACCTGCCAGCTTTCTCTGTAGGTATCTATTCCTGGTCCAGTCTGCAGCAACCTGGAGTTGTAGTTACAGTGAAAATCTGGTTGAGTCTTGAGCTGAACGTGCCTCTAACGGGTGGGATCTGAGGGGAATTCTGCTACTAAGCTTAAGAAATTTTTCCTGAATTTCCTGAATATGAACTCCCAGAACTTTATGACATGATCAATTTTTTGCAGATGATTCTGAGAACTTCAAAAAGGTACCTGCCAACAATTTTTAACACTCTGAGCAAAAGTTACTCAAAGTTAAGTTTAATATATGGCAGAACCTTATTCGTAAAAACAGAAAAACTCTCTTGGATGAAATTTTCTGTAGAAGTTTGGCCTTATGCAGAAATGTGATACAGAAAGTTCCAACCCAAGCATTAAAAACTGGCGAAGCTACGGGAAACAAGCTCTTCAATGGACTATGTAAGGTGACAGTAGTGGAAGGTAGTTTTAGCTGCCCCAACTCTACTGACTGCTTCTCCACTTCTTTCTCTAAACCTTGGACTGCTGTACTGTGAACAAGAGCATACCAATGCATTAAGCGCTTTCACTTGCTCTCCAAAGTACGGCTTTAAATTAATTTTCACAAGTGAGTTCTAAAAGGCTTTATTACGGAAACAGTTCACGCCTTTTAGGAGTATATTTAGGTCTTGCAAAAGATGCCAAGCTGCAAGCTCTGGAGGCAAATTCTATATTTATAAACAAATCAGGCTAAAGTCATCCCAAAGTATCCTGTCTCCAAGCGAAGTCCTTCACCGTCATCCTGCAGGGGCTGGTGATTTCAGGGATGCCGGCGGGTGGGAGTGTGTTTGCTGGCAGGCCAGCCTGGCGCTTTGTGGCAACCACCACCTGCCGTGGTGGTGATGTGTTACCAGGCTGGCTTCTGGAAAGAGGAGGAGAGTCCCGTACGACGCTGAGCAGGGCCAGCGGCTTGTTCCTGTCCTGCTGTTCCAGCATGTGAGTGGGCACCAGAGAGCAGTGACTGACCTTCTGCAACGCCCTGGTGAGGGACACAGTGGTCAATGGCAACGTGGGCCAAAGGGGGGGGGGGGTGCTGGGGTGCCCGCTTGACCCAGTAGCAGCACCAGTCCTGTCTCCTTGCAGCACCACAGCCGCCCTGGGACCCTCTCCAGCCCCCAGCCCTCTCTGTGACTGCGTTTGTGCCTGCGCAGTGCGCTGTGGAAGTGTCACAGCTTGCTTGTGGCCCCCGCTGACCTTTATGCAACGGTATT